CCCAATTATTTGATTATATTTGCACTTGACTTCTGTTTTAGATTAAATTATGTTAATGTCTCACAACTTCTTTTTTACAGATTGATTTCCATCCTCGATTGAGAGTTCATAAAAAAGAAATTTTCAATCTGCAACAACACACACGCTACGCCTTTCAAAGCACAGCTGCCTCAACTACTGGTACAGCTAGGTTTATAAGAGTAGCTAAGCTTGTGATTGTATTTCTATAACTTCTTCTTTTCATATAACAAGATACGCTCGTCTATCGTTAGAGTTTTCCAAGTTGACCTAAGGTTCCTTAATTGGTTCGTGAAAATAGGGTTTTGTATGATTTGTCTCATGTAAAGTACATGGATTCGAAATACAAAACCAATTTGGGGAAGAAAATAGGAGCACAAATAAAATTAGACGGTAAGTAACGTTCGCATAGATTTAATACTTGTTGTATTATATTATTATTTATATATACAATTCCACTACATTGTCTAATGTCATAGGCAACACCACAGAAGTATACCACCAACAAAGTAATGCACTACAGGATTTTGGTAATAACTATTCAGATACTCAATAAATACTTTAAAACAAATGTTGATTTTAAAACCTATGTAATAAAAACTTGCACACAAAGTTTTTTATTTCATTTAATTAAGATCACTATTGTACCCTAGGTCTAACGGTGTCAAGCTGTTTGAGTGGATAAGCTTTAATAGGTACAGAACTCAATACATCAATCTTTACCTTTTCAATGAAAAAAATGCCTGCATATATAATAAAAACTATCGAGATAAGATTGATATGTCCTAGACTGTACATTCAACAAAGTGAAAACAGCTGATAAAATCTGGCTTACCTTAAACATATTGCTAGTCTCTCTCTTGGAGATATAGCCTTCCTCCAACGAGTATCTTTCTTCAATAACTTACTTCCTAGTTTCTGAACAATAATATTGAAACAGCTCTCTGACATTTTAAAATATTCAAAATATTTTCTTTCATCTTTAACCAATTCTTTGTATAATGTCATGAATTCTCCTTCTGTCTCTCTTGATCGATATGCTTCACGAGCAGCAGCAGCGAGTATCTATCAATGTCATTGTTGCCAGTACAACTAGTACAAGAAATAACTTGGTATTAATAACTGATATTGTAACTGGTAATAATCGATATTATTGATAGATACTCGTTATGATTCGATCGGTATTAATAAGGTAATCTTACAACTCGGCCATCCTTTACAAAGGGTGAGTCCTCTCACTGATTATACCAACATAAAACATTATTAAACAATAATATACATAGACATTTTAGATTAGATTCAATACTTTATTACATTATAAGTAACCAACTAAGCAAAATTTTAAACAACAAAGTTACTTATGTTATCTGTTACGATCTGCAATCATCTGTGCGATATCAGCTACAAGGTGATATCGTTCGCATTCTGCACTGACTGCTCGTAACCTTCTGTTAACAAGTTGGCAAAACTTTAAACGACATAGTTACTTGTATAATCTACTATGATCTGCAGTCATCTGTGCGAAATTGTACAACAATTCCATTCACTATCTGCACTGATCGCTTGTGGCAGGTACGTTAAATGAACTCAGAATAACATTTCAGATCATATACAATTTCATAACATGTTATAAGTTTCTTTTCATTACAAAACCATCTTCAACATCAGAAAATTATGCATGCACATTTTTATAACTCATCAAAATCTTTAATATTATCACGTAATTATCTTAGTTACATTTACCGTCATTATCATACTGATCAGTAAAAATAGTATTTAGGTCTGTACCGAATAATATTTCAATCATTAACCGTTCTCACTCTCACTACAGTTTTTGTCAATGTCATTTTCGATGCCCTCACTAGTAAGGTTATTAAAATTAAGCCACGGATGAATTTTGTTCATTACATTTTCATATCTTTTGTTTCCCTTTTTTGTTAACGGTGTATCCTCAACTAGAAACTGATCATTCGGTAATATTTTTATTATTCGATAGGGGCCATGAAATTTCTTAGATTCACCTAAATGATCTTTATCATATACAGTTCTTTCAACCCTAATAAGTTTACCTATTTTGTATGACTTCGGTTTTTTTCTGTGTTTATCAAACCATTTATTTAGCAATTTCTTGGTCCCTATCAATTTTATCCTTAGCCTCAGACTTCAGTTGCATTAAGTCATCGCCACTTACTAATTGCGATGTTTCCGTAATTACATCACCTAACATATTTCCAGACGTACTAACTAGTTTACAGCCAAACAAATACGGCGAAGGGCTTTTTCCAGTGCTTTTGCTTATCGTAGTATTGATACCTAGCTGTATATCGCCTACGTACTCATCCCATGTATTCTCATTTTTCCCGTGGCACTTAGTACTGAGTGCGTCAGCTATAGTGCGGTTGAAGCGTTCGACCTGTCCATTCGCTCTTGGAGTGGCAACTGCATTTAAAATGTGTTTGATGTTTAGCCTATCTGTAAATTCCTTAAATTTGGCGCTTGTGAAGCACGTGCCTCGATCCGTTATAAGGCGAGATGGAGTACCGAATAAACTTAAGTATTCATTGAATATCTGATTGGCAGTTGACGTTTTTGTATCTCTTACAGGGCGTATACAGACAAATTTTGTAAAAGCTTCAAGAATTAGTAGTAAATAAACGTTTCCTCTCCTAGAGCGAACGAATGTGCCCAGGTGATCCGCGTGCAACGTGTGAAATGGAGATTCCATTTTTGGGATGAGATGAAGAAAGCCTTCCCTTTGACCTGAAGGAGTCTTGTGGTGAGCGTATTGTAAACAAGACGAAACGTATTTTTTGTAGAACGGCGCATCTTTGGAAACCAGAATGTTCCCTTCAGTATATTTAAGGTTTTCTCAAATCCATGACCCACGTAGTCATGGTTCATACGCAAAATTTCCCACCTAACTGATCTAGGTACCACCCATTGAATTCCTTCTTCTAACGATACACGTCACCTTTAATTTGATAATTTTTACGCACATCGGCTACATATTTAGTTTCCCCATCAAGTAAAATATCTTTTATTCATTTTACCTCTTCATCGTTACTTTGAACTGTTGCAATCCAATCTTTTACATCTATATGCAAAACATCCATTGCATTCAAATCAAATGCAAATGAAGGTGGCTCAGTGACAGGAGCTCGACTGAGAGCATCTACATGGGCCATGCGTGCTCCTGCTCTATACTCTATAGCACAGTCGTACTCCTCTAACCGCAACCACCAACGTGCTATCCTTGGAATAAGGTCTCTTTTAGTCAAAGTGGTTCGTAAATCATTGCAGTCCGTAATGATTTTAAATTTTAAACCCAATAGATATAGACGAAAACGGTTAATCGAGGCAATAACGGCCAATGTTTCGAGTTCAAACGAATGCAGTTTTTGCTCGTCTTCGGTTGTCTTCCGACTATAATACGCTATCGGTCTAAACTGGCCGTCATTACCACGCTGCATGAGTATACCTGCAAGTCCAATTTTTGACGCATCCGTGTGTAACTATGTTTCTAAATTGGTATCAAACAAAGTTAAAATAGGTCGTTCTATCAGTTTTTCTTTTAGGGTGTTAAATGCTTGAGTATGCTCATCGGTCCATTTCCATTCAAATTTAGTCTTTAAAAAGTTAGTCAACGGACATGCTTACAACGCGATGTCCTTAACAAATCTTCTAAAGAAGCTAGCTAAACCGATAAAACGTCTTACTTCATGTACGTTTAGAGGTATCGGAATTTCTGATATAGTTAAGGCTTTACGAGATCCTGAACGTATCCCGTTTCCGGATACATGGAAACCTAGGAAGTGTATCACCGTTTGTTAAAAGAAAAATTTCTTTAGTTTGAGAGTCAAACCTGCCTGAGAGATAAGTATTAATACTTCTTCCAAGCGGGATATGCCCTCGTCAAAAGTCTGCGCCGGGATAAGGATATCATCCATGTAAACAACGACATATGTCAACTTATAGAATACCCTAATTATTATCCTTTGGAAAATGGAAGTGGGCATTTTCCAGTCTGAAAGGTGTTGTATATTAGGAACTTTGTGTATAGTTTGTGGCTAAATATGTCTTATATTCTATGGTTGGTTTATAAAAAGGAAATCCTGTCTTTGGTAAAATGGTGTGTTGTGAACTTTTAGTAAAATACAAATCGTTATTCATCTTGTAAACTTGTATGATTATATTGGTTATAACTAATGAAACAGTTACTAGTGTGAGCAGTGGTTTATTTTACCAACAACATAAAATTGGCGACGAGGATTATTGGAAACATCGAACCGTATAACCCACAAACAGAGTTTACGGGATACGTGGACCGCATGGAACAATTCTTTTTAGTGAACTGCATAACGGACGACAAGAAAGTGCCCATGTTAATAACATTAATTGGGCCTGAGTGTTATGATATTTTAAGAAATTTAGTATCACCAGAAGTCCCATCAAAAAAAAACATACGCAGAGTTAACTGCCACATTAGCAAATCATTTTCTGGTAAAAAAATCTTATATTGCTGGCAGATATGAATTTTATAATTGCAGACAGAAGGAGAATCAAACAATTAACGAATGTATAGTGGAAATAAAAGGAAGAGCATCGCAATGTAATTTTGGCGCCTTCCTAAATGAAGCTTGGAGAGACAAAATTGTCCTTTTCGATTAATATAGAGTATTTCTTCGTCACACATTTTTATAAAGTAATTAATCTTTCATTTGCCGCTTGGACAAATAAATGCAGACATTGAAAATGCGTCACATATACTCAGTTGTTTAGTGACAATTTATGTCAGCGATATAGACCACGGGGATTATTTATTTCCCGTGGTCCACCTGACTCTTCGCTTACAACCTCAGTTTTATGCAAGTCAATTTGTATTAAGATCTGCATGGAGCATAGGTACATCTATATCGCTGACATAAATTGTCACTAAACAACTGAGTATATGTGACGCATTTTCAATGTCTGCATTTATTTGTCCAAGCGGCAAATGAAAGATTAATTACTTTATAAAAATGTGTGACGAAGAAATACTCTATATTAATCGAAAAGGGGGGGTGGTAATTTTGTACGGTAATCACCAATATTATAAAGTAAAGGTATTAAAAAATAATCGCGAGCTGTGGCGATGCGCGAAATATAAAAAATTAAAGTGTAGCGGAAATATCATAATCAATACGACGGTAAGTAATATGGATTTTATTCTTGATTGCCATTATAATCTAACTTCTTAAAGTACTGAACCGATAAAGTTTTGTTCCAATATAATTCGATTTTTAAAGACTGAACAGTAATCTAATTATACGTCACTTATTTTCAGGAAAAAATCATAGATAAATTAAGGGAACATTCATGTCCCCCGGATCTGTGTAAGAATGAAGTAGCCAAACAAATAGCTATGTTAAAAGACAAAGTTTGCAAATCCACCAAACCCATACCCCATCTATATGAAAAAGCAGTATATAAAAACAAAGGGTTGGACCTTGTAACGCCGTTGCCACCACTGTCGAGTGTCCAACATTGTCTGTATGACATAAGTAATAAAGGGCTGTGTGTAAATAAAACGACATTTAGTAAAATGGAAGACGTTGTTTTGCCAGCACAATTCGAAAACTTTATACTGGCTGATTATTATTATGAGGAGTCAAGAATAATAATATTTTGTCCCCCAAGCACAAGGAATAAACTTGGTGAAATTAATGTAATTATGGGCGATGGCACGTTTAAATGCTACCCAAAACCCTTTTATCAATTGTATTCTATTTTTGGGGACATTGGTAGTTCCGTTGAAACTACCAAAGTTACCCCTCTTTTATTCGCTCTTCTACCAAACAAAAAAGAAGTTACATATAATGTTATGTTTTGTCTGTTTAAGTCACAATTGCCTGACTTTGATCCCAAGATATACTCGTACAACTGCGACTTTAAACAAGGAGCAAATAATGCTATACAAATGGTATATCTGAAAGTTGAAGTGCGGGGATGCTTCTATCACTGGCATAGAGCATTATGGCGAAAAGCTAAGTTATTAAACCTAAAATCTAAAGGTCAAAAAAGAATCGTCGGCCTAACGGCAGCTCGGCCACTTCTGCTAGAGGATAATATGCCAGATGGCTTTCACTACATAATCTCTGAAGGCACTGCATTAAAAACAGACAAATTTTTCAAGTATGTGGAAAGCTTTTGGAAAATAAGATATTTTGAGACCATTCTGTGTTTTGGCTTGAGGTTTAGAGCTAATAACGCTTTGGAGGGCTTTCATGCCAAAATCAATAAAAAAATTAATAAAAACAGCATCAATTTATTATGGCTCTTGAGTGTCTTGAGCACAATACGAATTGCAAAATAAAAAAGGCGCAAATTATATGTAGAAAACGATGATTATATAAAAGATATTCAGTTGCAGTTAATTACCAACGATATTCCTGTAGGCATCGCTTTAGAAAAACTACGCTAATTAAATGATTTTAAAAATTGTAAATGCTTTTTTGTTCATAAGAACATCCATAATTTACTGTTAGAAACATATGGCTATGCAGGTAGACCACGGGAAAAAAATAATCCCCGTGGTCCACCTGGGTGGACTACGAGGTGGACAACGAGAAACAAATGAAAATTGTGTTTGGGTTGCTTAACCAGCAACTAGTAAAATCACTTTTAACTGAAGGGGATACCTTATCATTTGATAATGCTGTAAAAATAGCAACTGCTTTTGAGAGTGCGGATAAGGAGAGGTATTGAAGAAAAAAAATAACAAATACAAAAAAAAACTGAGACTTAGGAAACGCTTTCAGAGTCCTAACACAAAAGCGAAAGCTCTACTGCAGGATAAAACAAAAACAAAAGAAGCGAAAAAAAAGTTTTTTTTTTGGGAAGGCTATGAAAAAGACATTAGAAGGCAGCTACAATGCTCTAAAATCAAATACTGAGAAAAGAGCATTCCACAATACAATTATGCGTGAAAAACACATTTTAAAGAAGCATAAAGTTTTGTCAGAAGCACAGAATTTCTTGCTGAGAGAGAAGAAACAGCCCCAACAAAAAAAAAGTAGAATACGAAAAGTTAAAACAAGATATATAAGAAATTATTGAACGGGACAACGTTTTTAGAGCTACGGCAGGCAAGAAAAAGTTTATAACACGACAAAAGGAGGGAAAGCAGAAGAGTTATTTGTTAGATAACATGAAGAACCTGCATAAAGTATTTAAATCCGAATTTCAAACAGTGAATTAAGGCTGATTTACATTGATACAGTAGCTGGCGCCAGCATCACTGGATTCCGGCGCTGGATCAGCACTGGATCGAAATAGACCGGCCGCCTATTTTTCGATCCAGTGAACGACCACTACACGCCGCACAGCCCGTGCCAGTGGCACTGGATCCGTATAAACACTACGTGCCAGTGTTTATACGGACGTATAAACGCCAGTCGCTGACGCCTAATAGTACAGTTACTACGCGTTTTGTTTGTTCAACAACAACACATCGAAAATGACATCTCAAAAGTGGTCTGATGAGGAGCTCATTCAGTTTGTGCAATTATATAGACAGGAAGAGTGCTTGTGGAATTTAAAATCACAAAATTACCGTAACAAAAATATACGGTCCACTGCATTGCAGAATATTTGTACTGCCATGAATATTGAGGGGTTAACTGTAGATGATGTTAAGGCTAAAATAAAATCCTTGAGATGCACTTATTACCTAGAATGTGATAAAATAAAAAAAATCATCAAGTTCTGGAGCAGGGGGAAATGTGTACATACCAAAAATGAAAAGGTTCTCGGAACTCCACGAATTCATAAAAGTTGTTGCAATAAAAAGAAAAACAACAATAAGTACTTTCATTTTCATAATAATTTAAATCATAAATATAATCATATACCACAAAATAGATCGGTACTCAAACTTATTTATTCAGTCTAGGCTGTTACAAGCTCTTGTGAAAGTCAAACGCCTTGTACTGAGAAGAACCGGCAAGAAACTCAGCAAGGGCTATTTTTTTTCTCCCTGTTTTGTTTGTCGTTGTCAATTGAAAGATGACATCAAAAATTGAAAACATGTGTTGATGTCAACTTCCATCACATTAATATTATTAATTAACAAAAGTTAAGTATCTAGGTACTATTTTAAAATTTAGAAGTGGCGATTAAACAATTTTCATCCAAATTAGCAAAATAAAACGACTTAGTCTATTATATTAAGCCCATGGTGACTTATCATTTATGAAATCTTTAACAGCATAGTAACCTTGTTTTTATACACACTTTAAACTTATTAAAAGGAAAATTATTATTTCTTTTGGTATTTTATTATAGTAACATATACCTCGACCCACAAATGAACCAAGAACCTTTTGGAGTCTCAATGGTGGCAATTTGATTTTATCTTTATTTCGCGTATTGAAATTATGTACATCATCGCGCCTCGTATACAAATTTATGTTCTGACGCACAAACAATACACAATTGTAAATGTATTGAGAGGCAGTCATTATACCTATTTCTTTAAATTTATCCCTTAGAAAAGTTCGAGATCCTAAGCGATAAAAAGCTCTTATAGCTCGTTTTTGAAGAATAAAAACGGTTTCAATGTCAGCGGCCATGCCCCATAATAGAATGACATACGACATAATGCTGTGAAAGTAGCTGAAGTATATTGTCCTAGCAGTGTCGACATCTGTAAGCCGTCTTATTTTATAAATTGCATAAGCAGCAGAACTAAGTTTACCGGCTAGTGTTGTAATGTGAAGGTTCCATTGAAGTTTGTGGTCTAGTGTTACGCCTAAGAAAACGGTTGTATCGACTAAAATTAGTTTTTCACCATTTAGAATTATATCCCCCATTTCAGCATGCTTTACATTCGGCAAAGTAAACTTCACACATTTAGTTTTGCTCTCATTAAGTTCAAGATTATTAGAAGAGAACCAGTGTTATACCTTGGAAAGTGCCTTGTTTACATCGTCATAATTTGTTTTACACCTGTCAACGTTAAAAATTAGCGTGGTGTCATCTGAAAACAAAACAATTTCACAAAAAAAATCTACAAATGTAAATCATTAATGTAAATTAAAAAAAGAAATGGGCCTAAAACTGAACCCTGAGGAACGCCTATTTTCACATGAGATCTGGCTGATTTTGTACCGTTAATATCAACTATTTGTATCTTTTTTGTTAAATAGGATTGCACTATTTTTATGCGGAATCCTTTATGCCGTAATGATTTAATTTCCGTAACAAAGTTTGATGATTAACGCAATCAAAGGCTTAAGATAAATCTCAGAAAACCCCAAGAGCATACTGCGACTTTTGTCAAGCATTAAATATATATTTTAGCATAGTGGCACCAGCATCAGTTGTGGAACGGTTTTTAGTGAAACCGTACTGCGCTCTGTGTAAAAGTTTATTGTTGTTAAAATGAGTCAACAATTGTTCTAACATTATTTTTTCAAAGATTTTACTCAATGCTGGTAATATAGATATTGGCCTATAGTTGCTAGGATCTTTACAATTTCCAGACTTAAATAAAGTTATGATTTTACTGAAAATCATAAGATCAGGGAATACTCCCTGATCTATACATGAATTAAAAATATCAGCTAGGTAAGGGGCTATAGAATGTATAATATTATTTATGACTTTGACAGATATACCCCATAAATCAGATGCATTTTTCATTTTTAATGAATGGAAAACTTTTATTATTTAAAATTTAACTAACGTGCCTCAAATTAAATAATAAACCACACGGAGGTACATATTTTTGTAACAGAGCTGTAGTAGTATCAGACGATGAGTACAAGTTGGAAGTAGTTTCTAATGGTATATTCATAAAGAATTTATCGAAAATATCTGCGACTTCATGTTTCGATTTTATTAGATTATTATTGATTTTAAGAACCATGCTATTTTCACGAGGCTTACATTTGCCACTTTCGCGCTTAATGACATCCCAAGTGGTTTTTATTTTATTATTAGATTTTTTAATTTTATCCCCAATAAAATTTTACTTTGCAGTATTACGTATGCTTTTAAACAATTTGGAATATTTTCTAACATAGTTAATAAACTTAGGATCCTGGTTATATTTTTTGATTCTATATATACAGCCTTGTTCTAGTCTTATATATACCACTTGTCGCCCAGTCACGTAACTGCAAGCTCTGTGTACATTTAATGGTTCTCGGTCTGAACGTAGTTTGAAATTCATTATTTATTAAACCAAAAAGATTTTTGTACAAAATACCCGGATCGTCATGCGTCCAAGGCATCAAGTTTATCGCTTATGTTATTTTTAAAACTATTTACGCGCTCATTTGTTATATGTCTACACTCTATTATTTTCGGCTCAGTACTGACATTGAAATTGTATGTTGTCTTTAAACCGAGATGATCGGAAGTAATATCACTAAAGACTGAATTTTCAATTGCATCCAACTCAGAAAAAGTTATCTAAACAAGTGGCTGAGTGAGATGTTACTCTGGTTGGTTCAGTAAACTGGAAATTTAAATTAAAACATTTAAACAAGGTAATTAGCCTAAGACTTAAAGAGCTATTTTCAAGTAGATTGACATTAAAATCACCACATACTATTACAGATTAATTTTTTAATTTATTTAGAGAGTCCTCCATGACTGATTCAAATGTACCAAAGTTTCCTGATGGGGGCCGGTATACACTAACTATATACAAATTTACTAACTCTATACACGACAGCTCAACATGGCGTTCCACTGAAAGGCTTACAATGTCCTTTCTTTCCTTACATTTCACATGATCTTTTACAAAAATTAAAGAACCACCATGAATAGCTATCGTGCCTACAAATGCACTGCATAGTTGAAATTTGTTTAAATAAAATGACTTTTCACGTTGTTGCAGCCAGTGTTCAGTTATGCACATGATTTGAGTTTCATGACTTTTAGCTAATATTTTGGTGATTAATATTGACACAATGAGGCTTAGCTTTTGTCATATGCTTTAGTTTAAATCTAAGGAGTTTATTGTAGAACTACAATTTATCACAAGTACTAATGTCACTTTTAAAAGAATTATTTACAATTTGTAAATTAAAAGCTACAAATTAGCTAATTGTGTCTGAGATTTTTTTCAAAGATACATAGTATCTAATTACTAATAAATTTATTAATGTCAAAAAACAAAATGACTTCACTATGACGATTAATCAGATTATACAAGTATGTATTTAAATCAAAAATGCGCTTATTTTCATCGCACATCAAGTATTTAGCATAAGGGACAGCACTGATCAATAATTTGCAGTTAGTTTCACCTTGTAACTTTAATAACATATTAAAAGAATTCAGTATGTCCCTTTTTCTAATGTCTGAGCTATCACCACATAAAATGATTAAGTTGGTTAAACTATCTACCTTTTGCGTTTGCGTAGCATTATTTACAATTTCTTTAAATGATTGTCCAGGAAAGCATAAATTGTAAAATTTATTATTCTATTTATAACTAATAACACTGGTTAACAAATTTTAAGGTTTTGTTAATCCATGAAATGAGTTGTGCTAATTGCGAAAGAATACCTCTAAACATACATTTTGATGTAAGTTTTAAGGTCGAGTTAGCTCGCGTTTTTTGTGGAATCAAATAAAAATCTTTTGACTTAAGATAACATTTTATTCATAAATCACGTATTATAAAATTTAAAAATGAGTTAATATATTGCTTTTCCGTTTATAAATAATATCTACAGCCTCTCTCTTCAATGTCCAGCAGTAGTCTGCTAACATAGCAGGACTCCATTTGCCCTGGTATCGCTGTTCCATGCCTGAAATATCCTGGTGAAAACGTTCACCATGTTCGTCGCTAACATCTCCCATATTTTCAGGACAAAAATCCAAATATGAGTCGAGAATATGTATTTTGAGGGACATTTTGCAACCGAGAGCGTACAATGCTTAGATCATATTCTTAACCAGGTTTTCATAGTCTTCAGAAAACATAACAATCTCCAATGTGATCCTTTTGTTCTTTCCACAGCATCGGTGTTGCGAAAGGCAAACATGATCGGCGCGGCGGCCGGATAGCCAATCTCGCAAGTATTTCCCACAACTCGAGCATATTACATGCGGAACCCAGGGCTTGTCTTGATTTTTCACTGGTATTCCGAAATAAAGTTCGTAAGCACGACAGATTCTGGGACTGAAGTTTTCGCTCGTATTTTTTGTAGTGAATTTACCACACACGTAACAAAAATTGTTAGGATTGCTTACACAGGAACGAGGCATATCAAAAATATAAATTCACAAATTTTTAGTTCAAACTTCACAACAAAAACTAAATACAAAATTTGTTTGATACACTTAAGACGTTGCTGTATGTTACAGTGCTATTACCACGTCATACACTAATTGTATTTTCACGGTGTTTGATAGCGAATGCCAGCGCAATTTTAACGTTCTTTATGATGTATTAAATCTAGTAAAGTAAAGCCGTGCTATAATAACGAACAAGTCGAAACTTGCGAGAGTGCGGCGAATGCAATACAAGATTAAACTTGCATAGCTCGATAACTCGAGCTAAGACACTTGTAATATTATAATTGATGATTAGTATTTACCAAGTACTGCCTATTTTTGTATTTCATCATTCATGGGCAAAACCATTGTTAACCAGTGTAATCGATGAAAGTCCCTGACCTAATTTGTCAGAAAGCATGATAGTTTTTGATGAAAAGTTCTGTGAAAGCACTGGTTCAAACAATTTTTCACTATAAGTGGTTTGTATTTTTGCATAGGCTGATAAATGACAGGAATTCTGTGTGATAACAATTTTTTTGTCTTTTCTAAACTCTTCATTTGAGATTGCCACTGGGTAATTAACTATATTTAACATTTGGTTATTTATTAATGAGTCATAGCGCTCAGCATTATAATTACACAACTCCACTAACTCTGAAGCAGATTTGATGTACTCATCAATTACAGGTACAGAAGACAATCTACATTCAAAGTACGTACGGTCGAGCAACACACACATAGACACCGCTCATGGACACGATAGGTAGGTATAGAAATAGAGAAAGATGACTCCTAGATTAGAATTTGGGTACCTCAAAAATCACCCAAAGTAAAGATGGGCGAATATGAATGATATTATTCGAATAATTCGATTGTAGAAGTCATTCAAATTATTCGGATAACCTTACAATTCATACGAATTTGTGAGAGAACGAGAAGTAAATAACAATGTATTGCGTTGTCTCATTCCTTCCGATTCGAACTTCATTACTACTAGTTTATGTATTCGGAATATCAGTAACCTCATCTAAAAATAAACTTTATGCCCTTATAAAAAATACTTAATTTCGTGTGGCAAATTGAACCATCAAACCATCGACACTCTTGGAAGTATTCGGAAATTAGTAGTAACTATTTATTGATATCAACCAAAAATGTCTTTACTGTACGAGCAAAAAGTACAATGTTGTATGGCAAACTGAATGAATGAACAAGCGGTTTGCAAATCAGTAACGAATATCAATTAAAAGTAGACTTTAGTGTACGGGAAAACAGACCAATTTTGTATGGCAAATTAAATGAATGAAACTAGCGGTTTTATTCGAATTTGCGAACTAGCGATCGATTGTTTTTGGATTCGATTGTTAATATTAGTAGTATCAAACCATTTGATTATTGGAATCAGTTACAATTGCCCATCGTGGACTATAAAATATCTTCAGAATTAGTTGAACTATGCAACTAAAATACAGAACGAGTCTTTAGTAAAAAAACAATTAAGTAGTTCTTTAAATCAATCTTCCTCGCAATCAACATCATCTGAAATTATAGAGGTCGTTAATAATAATAATAATTCTCAAACAGTTAAAAATCTTGGTGATTCATCTGCCTGTTCTGGGTCAACTTGCAAAATTATAACACCTCCCCTGTGAGGTCAAACTGCACTACATATAGTACCTCTCCTTTCAAACCAGTGCTATCTGATAACACAAGAACAATTATGTTCTCAGATAAGTTAGCATCCTAACTTAATGTTAAGGAATTAATATAAATGAAAGAATTACTAATATATGTATGTCAGGGAAATCAATAAATGACATTGTGAGTGAACTGAATCAGTATGATGCGGACAGTTTGACAAACATAGTTATTATGTATGGTGACAGCTCTAAAATAAGAGCAAGAGATATGTATAGATATATAGAGGTGCTACCCCAACTAGCAAAAGCCAGTACTTAAAACAATCTCAAGACTAATTTTATTTTCACTTATAAGAAACTTGTAGTATGCTACAAACCTGGATTTGGGCGCAGTTATAGGAGCGTTTATTGCTATAATTATCTGACAATCAACTTATAAAATGTTACTTACCCCTATAATATACTTGTCGAAGCGCAATAGCTTCTAAAATGATATGAAACTAAACGACTACACGCACAAACGCTTTTGTTAGTATCTGAGATAAGTCTCTTACTAGAGCAATTTTGTTTATAATGCACTAGTAATGTACTTAGTTATTACTTATAAGTATATTTTACCAGAGTTTATCTTTGCTGTTGCTTCGGTTGGTGGTACTTTTTGTTTAGTGATAAATAATTAATAAAAACGTAAGTACAATTTGTATTTTCATTATTTTGTGTTAATGTAGAACATTACTAATAAAACGAGTATATTTTAAATATTTGAAGTCGTGGGGAAGTCATTTTTACTGTAAATATGTACCGCAATTTAGTTACTTTTGCACTGCCCTCCGAAAATTAGCACATTAGTATTTTGTTTTGAAAAAAATATTACATCAATTCTTACGAATGTACGCCATGTTTTGAAATTTCCCTTCATCAAGTACTTTGTCGGACGATTATAGGTAAATTAGTACTTGTAGCAGTTTCAATCCGGACCGGACTGCTCGCCTCCATTTTAAAATAATTTAGGGTTCCCTTGAAATTTGCCTGATGTATGAATTTTTATTTTAGGATTTAAAAAGATGGCTGTATTTCTTGATGTCGACTGTTTTTTAACAAAATATTCATTGATTTTACTGACAAATGCGAGATGGCCTTGGACAAATACACATTTTGTGTTAACTGAAAGCTGCAATGGGTGTGGTTTTCCAGTTTCTTTAAACAATATGTAAAGACCTACTCATTTCATTTGTAGTCAAGAAAACATAATACTTTTACTGCACCAACATTTTTTTGGTGCCCGAACTGCTCCCTGTACAGCATATATGACCATTATATCGAAGATGAATGTACAATTTGTTACTAATTTTCTATCTACATAATCTTTGTACACACATTCTAAGGCCCGTACTTATTGAATTCATTAAAGTAAATATTATTATTATAAGGACATATTAATGTTGAACGATTTGAAAGCAAGTTTTCAAAAATTATGCGTTGGAGTAATCAAATTAGCAAGGAATCCCGCTGCCGCGCCGCATTTCGGAAAATAATTTAGAGGTACAATGGCTATAATATAATAATATAAGTAGCTTTATATCGATTATATACACGCCTAGATACCGTATTAACTGCATGAAAGCGGCGCAAAAAATATCTACTACATATGGTAGATAAGCTCGTTTCTACACACGCACACATTGACTGCTTCAAACAATCTGACATTAGAATCACGCACACATTGCACGAAAAATGTGCCATTTTCCATGCGTAGTTTATTTGGATTGCTCTATCTAGGCGTGTAAAGTCTAGTGCGGAGCAGGAAGAATTTCGTACAATGACTCCACGCTACCTATCCTTATCGCTCGCGCGCAAATATGTTGCTATCACGCTCGGTTACGGTGCGTATGCGACCGTGACAGCAACATAATTGCGCGCGAGCGATAAGTATAGGTAGCGTGGGGTCATTGTACGAAATTCTTCCTGCTCCGCAAATGGACTTTACCTATATAATCAAAGATCAGTAGTTTAGTACGTAGAACGCGTGTTAGAGGACGAGCGCGGGCTGTGGTGCGGGGGGGATGCTTGCTTGCCTTGCATGTTCGAACCAGTAGCGTAGCAGTGTAGCGCCTGAGTTCTATGAGCGCGTGTGTCTATTGTGCGTAAGTAAGAGCGCGTGTGTTTATTGTGCGAACGGCGTGTCACTGCCAGATTTATGTAATTTCCTTATATTTCAAAGTAATTTGAATATTACAGTGAATCAGATCGGAATAAACAGTTTTTAGAACATCACTGCACTTTTTGGAATCCTTAATCAGAGTTTTTCGTTGCGTCTCGCTTCCCCCTACCTGACCTTGTAGGTACTTACATCGTACGCTAGACAGCACGTTATTGGAAACAAAACTGGTCTCGCGTTGTATCGAATCTCTCTAATAAGCGACACCAGCTCAAGATCAAAGTGTTTCCATCGATGTGCGGGTGTGATAAATAAATATAGACAAAAATTGTTTGTCCCGTCCAACTCAAGTCACGCTCCAACACTTATTTGGCAATGCCGACTTTGGCTTTGGGCTTGATTGTACTAAGTTCGTTATTTGTGTCAGGTATTTTTTATTATTTTTTTAATAATTAGAAAATTTTGTTTACAATATATTATATATCAATAATATCAAAAGTGACCTAAAATCTATTAATGACGATATGAAGACTATAATGGAGGCCCTGAACACCTCACTAAACAATCAAGGGGTTATAGATCCATTTTGTATCAAGTGACTTCACTCAAAGTTATGAATGAAGAATTTATTAAAAAATCGATCACAGAGAAACAAACTCACTCATTGGTATTAAATCAAATTAAAGATTTAAAGGATCTCGAAGAGTTTGAAAAGAAATTAATAGATTCTCAATATAGAGATGATTTAGAGAAAAAGTTAAGTGTGTTGTGCACTTAAGGCACAGGGCAGGGAACCACAAGTGCATATTCCATTGTTGACATATTGTTTGAAAGACTACTTTTTAAATTATGTTCGTGGACTGGAGCCACACGTTCTTCCGAAAATGATCCCGCAGAAAAAAATTGTTTTAAAAGTTTCTCCAAAACTATTGGTTTCTTTTTTGAAATTATTCACAAGATGGATTTGTCGTTTAATTTAACTGACTGTCATAAATTTTTTAAAACAATTTTGCGGAACGCTGAGCAACGTTGCAAAATCGAACCAAAACGAGCTTCTACCAAAAAATGTAGAGGCAAAAAAGGAGTCAAAAAGACTCCGAAAGTCGAGTAACTAACGAAACGCCTAGCGACAAGAAGACTTCTTCCGAAAATCTGGCAACAAACGAAACGCCTCCTAAGCAGCCTTTTGTAGACAAACAACCGCTGGAAACCAAAGAGAAGTTGATAATGTAACAGAGGAAATTTTCGTCTGAACTTAACAGATTTTTTGACAAGGTATTTTTATACCAGTTCTATTTTAATCCTTCTAGGTAGTCGTAAACAGGTTCCTGAGTATTTTATTTTGATTTAATTATAGAGGTATTGTTATCTATTTGTAAGTACATATTATGAGATTATGTGACGCATCTAAAATGGTAGGTACTTAAGCTGAAACTATTACACTAAAGATAATTGATTTTTAAGACACCTAGACGGCCACGACTATGGTCTTACTTTTTTTTTTTGTTGATTTTAAAAAGAAATGCGGTTACTTTTTTTTATACTTTTATCACGACTTTTATGGAGACAATTTATGGTTTTTAACATTCAATTATAGTTAAAAACAGTTACGTTATGTACTCATAGTGAGACTGATGATAATTTTTTTGAACTTTGTTGATATTTTATTGTAGAAGAATTTGAGTATTTATTATTAAAGCTTATTGCTATTAAGCTTTAATAATGAAGCAAAATGTAGCTGTTAACTCATGAATGAATAAAACTGCTTTAACCGGATGAGCTTTAATATATAGTATTTTGTAACTTATAATGTATAATTTATTAGATTGTCAACCTCGACGTTTTGGAACTTTATATACGTCGTGGTCTTGGGAGGACTGAGACTGAACTGTCTTTCAAACAAAATGTCAACAATGGAATATGCACTTTTGGTTCCCTGCCCTATGCCTTTAGTGCACAACACACTTAACTTTTTATCTAAATCTTCTCTATATTAAAAATCTATTAATTTCTTTTCAAACTCTTCGAGATCCTTCAAATCTTTAATATGCTTTTATAGGTATGGGCGTTATTTAACGTAATCAGTTTCAATTACAGGTTACACAGCCTGTAACTGATTCACTTGTTACGGTTCGAACAATAAACCTGTGATTTTTCGTAACTAGTTATAAGTAGCAACGTTCAACACTTATACTTGCGTTAGGTGACGACAACGACCGATTACGATACGATAAGCCGCGACCGGCTACGTCACGCGTTATTTTCATCTCGCTCGTACAACTAATTAAATTAATGTAAAACATACTCTATTTGTATAAGCTGTATGTTTTGTTCGCAATTACAGGAAACAGTCTATAAGCGTTTTTGTAAAATAGATCTTGTGAATGATGCATTATATGCATGATATTTCTTTAATACATTAGGAATGAATATAAATCTTAGGTGAGAGAAACAGGTTTTTTTGGCCGGAAATTGGTAGGTGCATAGTGTATGGGTCAAGGTTAGTATGTCGGGAATTGTCGCGAGTGTCGCGTGCATTTTTTTACCTAGATATTTTAATTTACGCTCGCGCGAATATTAGGCTTAAATAAAGTATCTAAGTAATAAAATCAATGATTGATTAATAGACGAAACTGAGTTAACAGTGAAGTGCAGATTTAGCATTAGTTCGTGTATTATATATTAAAATTAAATTCTCTACTAAAGCAACATCATATCTCGGTGCAATTCAAGTATTCTGTGGGAGTTTTTCCAAAAACTAGACACCGAGAAAAAAGCTAAATGCAACACGTGTGGTGAAGTATACAGTTACAAAACATCAACCGCAAATTTAAAAACGCATCTAAAGCGAAAACATCTTGATGCATATCAAAGAGTTTCTTCGATGCAAGCGCAAGGGCTCCAGCAGGTCAGGATACTATCTCTAATGAGGTTCAGCCTTCACCATCGACGTCAAGGTTAAATATTGCTTCAACTTCCAATCAAACACAAGGTTTAGGTACCACACCTATAAATATTCCTACCCAGCGCCAGCAGCGTATCGATCAATACGGAAACGCCAAAAAATATCACAAACCCTAAAACAGAAAATTGATAATGATCTTGCTGATTTATTTATAGATAGTTATCATCCGTTCTCTTTAGTAGAGGAACGTTCTTTTAAAAAAATTGCCAGACATATACCAGGATATGAACTACCGACAAGGAAAACTGTGTCCAATATTTTAATACCAACTTTATATGACAAGACTGTTCAGGCAAAGAAAGAAGAAGTAAACGACATTGAATATATTTCTTTAACAACAGACTTGTGGACGTCTCGGGTCAACAATTCATACATTGCCGTAACGGGGCATTACATTAATAAAAATCTGGAGCTGAAGACATTTTTGTTGAAATGTGCAGAATTTCAGGACACGCATACTAGCGCACATATCGAAACAGCATTACGTGAAACAACGGAGGAGTGGAATGTAAATTTTATAGTAAGCGATAACGCTTCCAATTTAAAGAAAGCCATAGCCGACATAGGCTGGAAACATTACGGATGCTTTGGTCATACCCTGAACCTAAAAGTACACGACGCTCTTAACCTTGTTCAAGATAATTTGGACAAAGTCAAATATATCGTACGACACTTCAAAACAAGCACAGTAGCTACAGAAAAGTTACTGTAAGCACAAACTCAGGAAAAGCCGAATGACATTCCAAAGCGTTTAATATAAGAAGTTCCGACAAGGTGGAATTCCACATATTTTATGTTAAAGAGATTTGTGGAACTAGAAAGTTACATACGTGTTACAATCGCTGTTTTAAAAAAAGATTTGCCAGTGTTAGCAATTGAAGAATGGAACATGTTCTCTGAATTGTGCAAAATTTTAAAGCCTTTCGAGGAGGCCACTAAAGCCTTGAGCGGTGAAAATTACATGACTGCCGGAACTATAATAGTTATGACTCGATGTTTAAAAGAATCATGTGACCAACTGTTATTAGCGGGCTTTACTGAGATAACAAACAGTGTTATTTATAAACTTAAGACAGGGTTGGCTGCAAGATTCGATAATGTTGAGCGAAGTGGCACACTTTCTGTATGTACCATCCTAGATCCGAGATACAAAACACAAGTGTTCTCGGACGAACCACCAACGAAGCTACAAGAGCAAAAAAGAAATTGGAAGAGTTGGTTGCGGCCATTATCAGACGGCAGCGTATAGAAAACGAGCCACATCAACAAACTGCTCCAACAGCACAGGACAAATTTTCGCCTTGGTCGATTTTAAACACCATTGTGGGGACGCAGCAACAAGTTGTTGGAACACCTTTGTCGCAGGCCATAAAAGAAGTAGACTCTTATATTAAAGATGACGTACTGCCGATGTTTAAAGACAGTGGCAAATTTAATTGTCCTTTAGAGTGGTGGCGCTTAAATCGACACATTTACCCCAACCTGGCCATACTTCTGCGCCAATATGCCAATATTATGGCGACTTCAGTCCCGTGCGAGCAGATACTTAGTAAAGCTGGTCTTACGATTAGTAACCGGCGCACACAACTAAAAACAAATAAAGTTGCACTATTTAAATGTTAACCTGGATCCTAAAAGGTTTCATAAATAAATGTGTATAAATCCCTAAAATAAGTACTTCAACTAAAACGTGCCCGTGCAGCCAAGACAGTAGGTACTTACTTAATGAAAAACAATAGTGTAATAAACATAAAGCGGCCTACACACCAAAGCCGCTGACCCGGCGGCACGGATCGCCGG